TTTTAGAAGTGTGAAGGAGATGGAGAAATCGATCGATCATGAAAAGAAAGAAGCAGTTATGGCATGCTAAAAATCGATTGAGAGAGAGAGAGAGAGAGTTAGCGCTTCCCCATAAATCGATTGAAAAAGAGAGAGATAGAGGTTATTGTCGTAGATGGAGGGGTTTCGGGTTGAGTGAATCGTAGAGGGCTTGAAATTAGGATGAGGGTTTGGTTGAGGGAAAATCGTTGAAGTGAAGAAGACGGGGAGAGAAAGAGAGAGAGAGAGCTCCACAACTGATATCTAGTTGGAGAGAATGCCTTCACTTCAAAGATGGAACCCAATAGAGGCTCGTAATTCTGTTGTTGCTGGAAATCAAGGATTATACAGAGATTCGACAATGGAATCCAATAGAGGCTTGGTGTTAATGGAAATCTAGGGTTACACCGAGGAAGAGAACAAGAGGGAGAGACAAAATAGAGAGTGAGGGAAGGGGGATGGAAATAAGAGGGTTAACCAGTTGCCCTAGTTTCCAATTTTTTACCATTAAACAATTCAATGGTCTTGATCAATTATTTGTAATCCAAGGGCCAATAATTAGGTTGCATATGGTGTGCAACCTTAAGGGGGTTGCTCACTTAAACAGCTCCCATAAATATTTTGCTAAGGTAAGGAGTGAAACTACAACAAGTGTGTGCTTGATGTTTGCCAATTATTCTTCATGGTTTTAATGTAAGATTTTATTTTATTTTATTGGTTATTTTATTTGGAAAAGTATTTTATTTTGTATAATTCTTTGATTTATCATTAACTCCGAGTACGGTAAATGCTTAGAATTCCCTGCGAATTAAATTACTAGTTTTGACATGTTTAACTAATCAAGATTTTATGAAATCATCTTTTGGAAAATATTTTTCATGAACTAAAAATTGCTAAACTTTCCGATTGGGGTCAACTTTTGTATGAATCTCAATTGAGTTATAAAATTAGAAATTTTGGCAAACACCATTCAACTTGTTGTAAGTGGATCTCTGAACCTTAATCTCATTAAAATTTATATAATCAATCACGTTAAATTTTCCATGACCAAATCAAACTCCATATCAATCCAAAATTTCATAATCACTTTGGACTTGCGCAATAAATCCCTCTGGAAATGACCTTGGAACTTCCGAGAATTACTATGCTTGACGATGACATTTTCCTACGCTTGGGAAGCCAATTATAGTGAACAACAAAAACCGACAAGCACTAAGTAACTTCGGCTTAAACTTTTGGGTCATGTTGGTAGACCCACAAGTTATTTGGGATAGCAAGTAGTGGGGGGTTACAACATAGAGTGGTGGTTTTGCTATATTCATCTCTTAAAGGTAAGATTTTTGTTATTGTACCCTTATCTATGAATTTAGTTTCAATATATCAATAGATGATTTGTAAGGGCATCTATGATTAGCTAAATATATTGACGAAGTCTATATTGGGGTGTTGGTTTTGCTGGAATTTAGAGTGTACCTTGCATTACTTTTGGGTGTTTGTATATTGTAGCTGATATGTGGTAGGTATACTTAATGGTGGTGTAACTGTGGGATGCAAGTTTGGCTGCTAGCAATTAAAAATGTATATATATGCATATAAACAACAATAGAATAATATAAGTTTTGAAGAATTGCCGAAGACATAGTGGCTCTGTTTTGGTGTTGGGATTTGGAAACTACCGATAGACTATAGGATTAGTTTATTCTATTATAAAAAATAAAAATAAAAATGGGGGATGCATTATGGCGGTCAATAATAATTGTTTATGTCGTGTAATATTTTATTAGGTTTGTGAGATTAAGGAGGATCTTTGTAATTTGATATTAGCTTTGGAAATATTATTTAGCTGTTTGAGGTAAGTAACCCTCTATCATTGTTGGTTCATTTTTATTTCTATTGAATCGTTTGAAATTATAAATATTTATTTATAACTTTTAAAATAAAATATAGGTCAAGTATAAAATAGAATTGAATATTATTTTGAAAATTATTTGAATATTTTGTGAAACTATTATGAAAGCTTGTACCAAATATTTATTTTGAAAATATCAAACACTTTATTTAAAAGGAGTTTATTGTTTGAATTTTGAACATCACTCTAGTCTGACTATGATTTGGACCCTAGCCAATGAGAGTTATTTATTGGCACAAAAACTAGTGTCTTTTGGGGCTTTACCACCGGCCTATGTGTGGTTCTGGGCCTTGTCACGGGCTAATTGACCATAGTCACCAAGATTTGAGTTTTTGTGAATCGAATCATTGAACCATCTGAATATCAAACTATCGATTTGAACAGCGAAATTACTTTAAATTACCTTATTGTCTTTTTAGTTAAAATGTATTGCTACATTGTTTATTCCAACTATGAAACCATCTTACGAGAGAATTGTTCATTTATTGATTTGTAGCAAAAATATATTTATTAGTTATCGACTATTTTCTTTGTATACTTGATCTAGCTAGCAGTCATGGTTGGTTATTTACTAGGTTTCCTAGCTTACCCTTCTTTTAATTTTTTTTTTTTCAGATTTTGAGGAGTAGAGCTGTGCGTGGTTTTTCACTTGTGGGAGTGCTGAAAGTAGGAATATGATTTTAAATTACTTTGGATTACTATTTTGTTAGTGGATTATATTAGTGGATTTGGTGGACAATTTCATATGATAAAGATTGTTTATTATTTATAGATTTTGACATTGTGAAAATTAAAAATTTGTTTTGAGTATTTTTATTTTGGTGGTTTATTTAATTAGACTCTTAGCCTTGCATGCTCAGTTAGATGGGTGGGGGGCATTGTCACAGGGCTTGGGGCATGACAATAGAAGTGTTGTTAGGCTTTTGTGGGCCATCACAGAACTTACATCAATAATTCGGATCGCTTAATATGTAGAACTCGTCAAGTAATTCATTCTTGTAAAAAAATCACGTTACTCAGATCTCAATAGCCACTTTGTTAGATCATATTTGTATTAACAATTTGTTTTTAAGATTATACTTACTGTTAATATAAATTTGAGTTGATTAAGTGGCTATCGATATCTGATCAACGTAATTTTTTTAAAGGATGAAATACTCGACTATTCTTATACATTGAATAGTTTGGGTCATCGATGTGAGCTCCGTGAAATGCCCATAGGGGCCCAATAGCACGCTCTAGTAAGATTTTGAATTGGAGAGTGCCTTTCAAATATCCCAATTCTTGAACAAAATTCAAAAAATATTGGGTTAAAAAAAAAAACAAGGTGTTATGCGTTTTTTATTTCAAATGTCAGTATTTTAAATTCAACAAATTAAACCCTGGAGTTTCATTTGTGTTTTAATATGCCGTCTTTGTCCATCTCCGTCTATGTAAGGTAACGGAGAATCGCTTTAAGGCTTAAAGTTAAAAATACTGGGATTTAAAGTGGAAAAGGCGTGAAACCTTGAGATTTTTTTTGTAATAAATCCCAATATTTAATTTTTTTTAATGTATATATATAATTGACATGTCTTATTGTATATATGTATGTGTGTGTACTTGTATACATAGTGAAATTTTTTTAGTCAAATTTTGGCTCTTCGGACGATAAAATTTTAATTTTCTCCATAATTTTGATAACTAAAAATAACATTAATCCATTAAAGCACTGATAAGTGTCTCTTACATTTCAAGTAGTTTTAATCCATTAAAGCACTAATTAATGTCTCTTACATTTCAGGTAGCCTTAATCCATTAAAGTATTGATAAGTGACTCTTACCATTCAGGTAGCCTTAATCCATTAAAGCACTAATTAGTGTCTTACATTTCAGGCAACCCTTCTTAAAAATAACATTAATTCATTAAAGCGCAGATAAGTGTCTTTTACATTTCTGGTAACTTTAATCCATTAAAACACTGATTAGTGCCTCTTATATTTCAAGTAGCCCTTTTTACATATTCATCAAAATGAGACAAAATTAAAATTTTATCAGCGGAAGAGTCAAAATTTGAATAAATCTTTTTTATCATATATACAAGCACATACAATGTGCCTGTTTGGCAGAAATTATTTACAGCTTATTTCAGCTTTCAGCTTAATTTAAGCTATTTTGATGTGTTTGGTTTAGCTTATAGCTTATAGCTTATAGCTTTGTGGAAGTCAGAAATCAACTTATTCTTTGAGTGGGGCAGGAGATGCTTTAAGAATAAGCTGGAAATCAGCTTAAGCTGAAAGTTATAAGGTATAAGCTGTTTAGGCATAAGTTATAAGCACTTTCCCATAGCTCTACCAAACAGGGCTAATGTTATATAGACACCACAAAAAATATATATATTAGGTGTTGATACCCCATTTTGTCCCACCTGATAAATAAATGCCCCCAAGAAATGCTCTACAAAAAAAAGATTTTATTTTATTATTTTATTAGGTGTGGTCTTTTAACCCAGAACTTTGGTATTATGATTGTGTGCTACCACTTTATGGTTGTTGCGATTGTGGATTCAACACTTGTAATTAAGAGTTTGACAGTTGTGGTGCTTATTCCTTTGCCATTGTTAAGGGTTGTATACAGTTTATTTATTTTTTAAGTTTGGACTAATTGTGGTTATGGGACTAGTAGTCAATTTGATGTAATATTTTATATATTTTGTAATTGCTGTCTTATTATTATTAACAAAAACAAAAAAATAAAAAATAAATATGTCGCCAAAGCATAGCAGCTTGCAACTTGCCAAGGCGATATTCATGCATTGAGATTTGGTGAGATTTGCTTTGCTTGCTTCTTATTGGTTGGAAAGGGTGGCAACATCTCCTATATAAGGAGTTGTTTGTTCGGTAAATTACATTTTACATCCCTACACTTTACATAAAATTTCACTTTGGTCCTTACATATCAAATTGTGACACTTAACCCCCCTATACTTTTGGTCAAGTGTTACATTGGCCCTTCTGTTACTCTCACTGTTTGACTCTTTAACAGAAACTATCCATAACTACAGTGCCACAAATGAAGCCAATAGCCACATGAATATGCAAAATGGCCACAATTCATTTCATAAAATATATTGCTGGTATCCACCAAATCAAAATGGCCACATATTCATGATGCAAACATGCTGGTAGTATCCATGACTACATAAACAAAACATGCCACATTGTCAAAAGAGTTTGATAATCAAAATAAACAACACCACTACTTTGGGTTCTTCTCCTTAGAGGCAGATGCATTATGAAGTGAGGACAAGGTCACAACATTCCTCCCTCTCCAGGTACATGAGGCTGTTGTTGGTGTTGATGTTGCTCCCCTTGATGCTTCAGATGCTTGTGATGATGCTGACTTTGTAATTATTGTCGCATTTCTAGTTGCTGTTGCTGTTGTCCTTGTTCCTACTGCTATTGTTGCCCTTGATGTTGAAGTTGCCTTTGTTGCTGAAGTTTCCCTTTGTGTTTGAGAATTTGCCCTTGATGCAGATGGATTTGGTGCCCTTGGAATTGCTGAAGTTGCCCTTGGAATGGCTGAAGCTGGATTTGGTGTTGCCATTGGTATTGGTGTTTGGGTTGCACTTTGTGTTGCCATTGGTGCTGATGCTTGGGATGATGTTGATCCAGCCTTAATACAATGCAATTGGCAAAAAGTATTTGGTCCAATCAAACATATATTTAGTTATATTAATTTAAAACATTAACAACAAAGTATGCACTCACCCTTTTCCTTTTATAGCCTAAGCTCTTCCATCTTGGTTTATTTTTTTGTTGGTACTCCTTGTTTGGTGGATTCTTGCAGCTCCTATAGTTATGGCCCTATGTTCCACAATTACCACACTTTACTGTTGTATTCTGCCTTGTGACTTTGGCAGGTTTGGTAGGTTCATCTGATATAGTACATACCTTTTGTCTCTATGCCAATGTCTTCTATGAGCAATTGAATGAACCACAACTAAGAGCTCTTTGTTTCACCCTCCACCACTGCATATGCTACTAGGAACATTTGGTTATTGGCATCAATTCCTATTGCACATAATAACTGTCCAGTTTGTCCACCTTTCAAATGGCATCCATCTAGACCAATCAGTGGCCTACACCCTGTCACAAAGCCCTCTTGCAAGCTCCAAGGCAAATGTACCGTCTCTCAAAGGTAAATTGATTAGTAGGGTCCTTAGGGTGTGTTAGGGAAAATAGATGATCTTCCACAAGTAAATAAATTGATGGAAAGAAAATATAATGTGAAAAGATTAAATCAACGACAATACAAGAATTTTTATGTGGTTTCCTCAATGTGAGGCATGTCCACGGGAACGAAATCCGATTCCACTATTAACCAAGAGTTTTCAAATAATTACAAACGAGACATAAATGGTCTCACAAACCACCCTCAGGTGAATTCTAAATTTTCTAAATTATTACAAATAATAAGAGGAAATACCTCACCAAATAGACAAACAAATTATCTTCGAAACAAAGTTGAAGAATATCCAAAATAACGAACCAAACGATGCTTTGAAGGAAGGCCGAAATAGAACCAAAACTTCCAAGCAAAATAGCAACAAACAAAGCACAAAGCTTTGGACCAATATTAGCCACCAATTGAAAATACACAGAGCACCAAGCTTAGCAACACCAAGCACACATCCACCGAATATATGATCAATTACCTGCTGCACACTCTTCGGAAAAACAAAGACAATACCAAAAATTTTATTGTTGACTCTTGGGCTTTTTATCAAAACCCTAGTTGTTACCAAACAGATTATTAAATACCTATTGGACTTTCAGAAGTCAGATATAATATACAAAAATATATATTATAACCAACATCAAACCAATTACATATTTTTAATAAACTAATTGGGTCCCATGCTCCACTAAGGAGGTATACCCAACAATGTTTCATGAGGAGTTGACTTCATGATGATGGTTGTGTCTGGATTTGTTTTCCTCAACTCTTCACAGTAATCCCAAAGTTGATTATATTGTTCAATGTTAGTAACCTGTATGATGGTTAAAGCCTTTCTCTTGGCCCTGTATAACTGACTCCTAAATGCTCCAACCACATAATCCTCCTGAACTTGTGCTTGAAAAGATTCAATTGAGAGTTTAGGGTTCCCCTAATGCTATCCATATACTTTTTTGACAGCCACCTAAAGTTAACATGCCTGTTCTGAAACACCATTCCACAATTATGTTCTTTGCTATATGTCTTCACTTGCAAAGTGTTCTGGTTCTGCATATTAGAAGCAAATATGATCCATCTGCATCCCACTCTACACACTGCCCTTACCCTTGTTTTCTCATTATTGACAAACTTTACATTCTTACCATTCTTTATTGCATACTCTCTCACTGTAGCCCTAAATTCTGTTGCCGAACCAAATAACATGCCCACTTTAAATTCAACATTGGTCATGCCAGTGTCAGGATTAAACTCTGGATGCTTTGGACCTCTTCTATCCTCATCACTTGAGTCATAAATGCTTTGGAGCTCATCAGATGATCCACCATCTTGCTCAAGCTCTACACCCTCTAGTTCAATGTTTGTAAACCCATATTATACTCATCTGCTTAGTCATTTGTGTTCCCTCTACAGCTCCCAACCCACTCAACACCTTTGTCAACATTGTTTTAAAACAACAGATCATCTTCACTCACTGCATAATCACTATCATAGAAGTCTACATCCTCACTGTCATTTTCAATGTCACTGTCATCACCATCATTTTCAACCTGAACGTCATGACTCTTATCTACAGAAACATCAACATTATCAGCAATTAATTCCCCCCTATGATCACTTTCAATTTGACTAATCACTTCTCTAGGTTGACTACTCCCAGAAACATCACATGACTCCACTTGGTTGTCCCAACAATCCATTACTGGAACATTTTCTAAGTACACTTCAATGGCTCTACTAGGAGGCATTTGAGCAATCATTTCAACCAAATTAGCATCAGTTGCTAGCAACCTTAAACCATTATCTTCACTCATTGCATAATCACTATCATAGAAGTCTACATCCTCACTGTCATTTTCAACGTCACTGTCATCACCATCATTTTCAACCTGAACGTCATGACTCTTATCTACAGAAACATCAACATTATCAGCAATTAATTCCCCTATATGATCACTTTCAATTTGACTAATCACTTCTCTAGGTTGACTACTCCCAGAAACATCACATGACTCCACTTGGTTGTCCCAACAATCCATTACTGGAACATTTTCTAAGTACACTTCAATGGCTCTACTAGGAGGCATTTGAGCAATCATTTCAACCAAATCAGCATCAGTTGCTAGCAACCTTAAACCATTATCAAAGTCCATCCCATGGATTCTGTAAAAGTAAATAATTAAACCATCATTCCCAAATTTCTTCACATTAGCATTAAAGTCAAGTAAAGAAAATTTAGCAGGATCACAATTTTCAACTAAAGTAATGTTTCCACCAATGTACATCTTTCTTGGAGAGTAAACAAAGTCACCCCCATGGTGAATCTTAATAGTAAAACATTAACCATCCCCTGTAGAAAACAGTTTAGAGACCACAAAGTCATAAATAAATTTTATTCAACCATTTTAATTAAACAATTCATAAACAAATGAGTTTAGGACCACAAAAAGTCCACAAATGTCCACTGTGAACTAAAAGTGTAATTGGTTTATTGATTTGGGTAGGGATCAAGAAAATGGAAGGGAAAATGTATTTGAAATGTAGATATATTTCATTCAAATTTCATCATATTTTTCCCTTTTCCTTTTCAAATTTCTATACAAATCCATGAACCAAACACAATACAAGTGTTAATACAAAAAGACAAAGACTAGCCAAGACACTCGGGGACCACATTTTTTTTCAACCAATAAAGTAGTAAATAAAAAAATTGAACAAAAGTTACACTTGATCCAAGAAATTGTTCTAGAAACCCACACACAGAATCAAACAAACAAACAAACAAACAAAATGATAAATCAATAAATCGTTGTAAAAACCCCCCACACACAAACAAAGACAAACAATTGTTATAAAATATTGCGAAGTTATACTTTACCTGATGGATGCGCACCTCTGTCTTCCTTTCCCTTCAATTCGTGACTCGTTTTTTGCATAACCGTAATAGTTCACCATCTGCATTTTGGTTTAGCCCTAAATTGATAGAAATTTTGGAACAATCACAAGCTGTATTGGCGGGAAATTATTTCCGACCTTCCCCTATTTAGTGGCCACATACTCATTATGTGACTAACTTCTGTTAAAGAGCCAGTGGAAGTAACATAAGGGTACTTGACTAAAAGTTCAGAAGTTAAAGTGTCACAATTTAATACTCCCTCCGTCCCAAAATAATGGTCCCTTTTGGGGAATCCAACTTTTTTTGGTAGTACAATTATTGCATTTGAAAAAGGTTGATTTTTCAAAATTATCCTTTTGATAGTACATTTTTTAAGAATATCAATGCTATAATTGTACTTTTTGTATTGTTTATTAATTTAAGAGAAGGGCAAAATAGGAAATTTATATTATTTTTGTACTTGATTTTTGAAGAGGGACTAATATTTTGGGACAATGAAAAATGGAATAAGAGACTAATATTTTGGGACGGAGGGAGTATGTAAAGACCAAAATGAGATTTTATGTAAAATATAGGAATGTAAAGTGTAATTTATCATTGTTTGTTTCATTTGTGGGGAGGCTCTAGAGAGGCCAAGAGAAGACAAGCGAATGCAAGGCTCACTTCTATTCTCTCTCTCAATTAAATGAGTTCTCTCTTTTTGGTTTCTTTCATTCTTGAGTTACTTCTCAATTTTTTATTTTTTATATTTTATTTTGGTCGAGTAAGTTCAAAAGAAATTTTAAGAAAAATTAATGTAACAGAGATGTTGGGAAAAAGCTGTCAAGTTCCACACACAATTGTGGATTAAAAATAGTGAGTGTTAGTGTTGTCATATCTTTTATTAGGATATTGGTTTAATACTATGCCTTATTATTTCACTCTCTCTCTTTGTTAAAATTTCGAGCCATCACATTTGAACATTAGAAGGTTTGTCTCAAAACTTTATAGATCCATAAAAATTGAAGACCGTCTAATCTCTTCATACATATATTTTTATTGGTTTCATATATATACATTTATTAAGGACTTGCTATGCCAGCAACATAACATTAAATAAAAAAATAGGTATCATCTTATCAAAAAATTTATACAGAATATGTAACCAAAATGATGCGGTAATGATATCCATGAAATGAAAATTACTTTGATAAATATTTTGATTTAAAATAGTAAATTTATATGTACCACATCATTCTGTATAGACTTTTTGTATAAATTTTCTATTTCACCTTATATCATATATGTATATATAATATTTGTGTGTATATATATATACTTGTAGCTATAAATCCATATCCATATATGCATATTTTTTTTATTATACTTGTATACTACTTGTATCTATATATATATATATCTACATATGCATATTTTAATTTATTATACTAATATACTACTTGTATATATATATACATATTTTATTTTATTTTATATTATTTGCATCAACCTCACATCCATTCTATAATACCCACATCACCTTTTTATTTTCAATGTTACTCGTGTATGTAAAAATAAATAAATAAATAAATAAAAAGAAGAACAAAACACACACAAAAAAAAAAGAAGGATGAGCAAAGAAACAATTTTTTTTTTCCTTTCAAATTTTTGTTTTGAATCTAAAAAAAAGAAGAAGAGAGATTTCCTTAACAAACAAAAAAAGAAAAGAAAAGAAAAGAAAAAGGCTAAAAAGAAAAAAGAATTTAAAAAAAGACTTCTTTAAAAAATCAAACTACAATTGGACCTGATTCCTACAACAGGATACATAGGCAGCCATGTGGCTCGGTTCGAAATTCAAATCTTTCTAATTTTCATTTTTATCTTTTCTTTATCATCAAGTTTAAAAAGGCTTCTTTCAAAAATCAAGCTACAATTGGACCTAATTCCCATAACAGGATACGTAGGTAACCATGTGGCCCGGTCCAAACTTTTCTTTTTTTATTTTTGTTTTATCTTTGTCTTGTACCATTTTGATATCATAATAGTGCTAATCAATCTCTTCAAAGAAAGGTTAATTTTCGAAACCACGCACTGTTCTTATGAGGAGATAAAATCACACTTGGTGATTGCTACTAAGTCATTGAAACCAAAAGTGATGTAGTAAAATTCAAGGATCAACATCTAGGCAATTTAGTACCAAAAGGGTGATCTAAGGTGCCTAATACCTTCCCTACTCGTAACAGTAAATCCCCGAACCCAACTCTGGTTTTCACAGGTCAAAAATGGAAGTCATTTTTCAAAATAAGGCCCATGCCAATATGTCAAAAAAAAAATCAATATTTCCTTACTCTTTTCTAAAATTATTTTCTTTGAAAATAATAATTAAAACTGTCTTCTCTGAAAGTAACTTTTAGGTGACCTAGCACACTTGAAACCCCATGTTAGGTGACTACTCCTACTTGTTAAAATTTTAGGACCTAAGTCACAGTTGTCAATTCCATTTCAATTCGTCGCATTAAGCTTAAGATTTTCTAAAACTCCTTTTTCTTTTTGTAAAAAGCGAGGGATGAAAAATTCGGACGCGATACCTGGCGATTTTGGCTATTTTTATTCTCTTTTATTTGATCCATTTTTGGTTTCATGACTTCTCATATTTTTCTTCTTATTTCAATCATCTAATGTATATATTTTGTAGGAACACTATTGAGTTATTTCTTATTCTTTTGTAGCATAAATAAATGATGGAGGGCATGACCAAATATATAGCTTCATGATTGTCAAGACAAGAGGGACATTTGTAAAATAAAAAAATATATATAAAGGGATTTATTATTATTATTATTTAGGGACAGCACCCCGTCATTTTAAAAAAATAAATAAATGCACCCACTCTCACAGCATGTTCATAGGTGCATAACATACTTGCTTGTAACCTTTTGGGAAAGTATGAAGGGAGGTCGTTATCAGATTTAGCTGTTATACGGTCCCGGTAGCTTCTATACCGAATCTTTTCCTACTCAAATCACCAATCTGTGAAGGTTCCACTTGTGGGACTGGAGGTTTGAAGATTTAGGAACCAAACCTCTGTTTAGGAGCTGCATTAGTTAACCTATTCATGTTGCACATAACTCTCTTGCGAAGGACCTCCTAAAATTTTTACCATGAGGAATGCTTGGTTTTAAAACAAAAAAAAAAAAAACAAAAGAAAAAAAAATTAGAATAATAACAAGGGGTGCCATTGTGTACTTTTTTTGTGCTTACATTTGTCATCATGCATTGCAAAGTCATCTCTGATAGGTGTTTCAAGTAACTCGAGCCATTGTATTTCCTGCATCGTCAGCCCTAATTGAACTGGCCAAGGCCACTTCACATAGGACAACCTACCAAATATTCTCAAGGGTACACATATCCTAGATATGCATTAACTGTACACCCATATGAGATAGCCATGTCTACGTCTGAAGATTAGGTCAGAGATTTCCACCACTGTAAATATCATCAGGCCACCTTTCTGTGCAATAGTTGAATGACAATAACTTATCCAAATTGTGACCAAAACTAGCTCTATGCTAATTTAAACTATCACTCTGATTAATTGTAGTATGATAGAGGCCTTGCCCAACTCATAATCAAGTTACTGCAACACTAAACTTTGTTCAGAACATTTTGACATGTGGTTGTTATTAGGCAATTATACAATTATCTTTGATCAGGTAACAATTTTTGCCTGGTCAAAAATGAGATTTTCATTTTGTCAAATCACAAAGCAGTCTCGACTTAACTACAATCAAATCATTGTCAATTTTATTTTTTTTATTTTTTTATTTTTTTTTACAATGAGGACTAAGGTTTTTCTTGACAACTTTTGGACAATCCGTTGCCTGACTGCATTTTCAAGTTGTTGATCATTCGAGTTCAAGGTTGGGGCACATGAGTATGTGACTGGGTCAGAAGAAAGGTTGGGCCTTATGAGAACTTGACTGCGCGTGCATGAACATCATATGCTTATGTCACCATGTGAGTAACAGAAGTCATTCCTTGAAGAAAACATGTGAATGTTTCTGCAAGGAAGAATAAAGGACAATTCATTTGAGACATCAAGAAGATCTTGAGATGGTTCTTCCAAATTTAATGAAATCCATAGGCAGGTGAATAAGCTCATGAATGTTGTCTAGACTTGACTGCTATCTGCAAATTGCCAACTCTTTCATCCACCAGAAACAACTACTGAAATGAGGCAAATACCGTTACCCGGAGGTTATTCCTATGGCAAGGCCTAGTAATACAACAGTTCCTTATGGTCTTTTGTTACAAAACCCACAAGCTCCTTCAACTGCACCAGCATAATTTGTGTTGCCCATTGTTCACATTCCACAAGTTTAACTGTTACCACCCATTATACCAATTGAATGTCATGCTTACGTGCAAAATGAGTCTGATAGAGAGGACATTTCTCACTTGCTTGATGTATCATGGAAAGTGGAAAGAAAAATGTTGGCCTAAAAATTTCATGCCCTTCAAAGAACATCCCAATCAATGCAAAGAGCTTTCCATGTATTCAATCATCTATACTTCTGTCCAGACCATCCATCGCTTAGAAAGTCCAAAATCCTTGGCTTCTCCTAGTTCAATGGCACGGAGAATAAAATTTCTTTAATTAACTCAAGCTCTATGTTGGGGCCATTATGTTGAGATGCACATGATAGTACTCTTTGTTCTTAAATTTTTCAATGCAGCATTACATGATCAGTCTTGCAGTAGTTTGCCTGCTTAAATGTATACAAGATCCACACATGGATGAGTTTTTTGAACATATTCTTTGCACAATGCTAGCATAATTGTGAGCTCACCTTTCACCATTGCACCTTATTGGGCATGAGCTGTAATTCTGAGGAATCATTTCCTGGAGTATGCCTTCAGGTTTAGGGAATCTACTGCTCCAGTGCATCCAATATTGATTCTGCCCTAGCATGCCTGCAAAGGCTTGTGCTTCGACAAGTTATGTATCAGTATCAAGCATACTTTCACCCAAATCACCCTCCAAGGTGAACTTATTGAAGCCACCATTAAGTTTGGTTGCATAATTGATATTGCTACATGAAGTCACAGAGAGTTCTCATCCTCCATGGAAAAGCTTGAGACCAAGGAATCTGAGCAGAATAAGGGGCAACTAGCCATCGTCCATTCTACAGTTTAGTATGGGAGAGGCCAATATGTCTCTATTACTTTAACCAACATCAGTACAAGCAAGCTTTGCTTCAATGATCATGGATATCATAAAGAAAAGAAAAGAAAAGAAAGTATAATCTTTGGCTATCAATAGAACCAAGACAAGTCATCACCGGCTCGCATTTGGTTAAATTACACCTTTTCAAGCTAAGCCCATTC